AACACTCTGTATGTCTTAATTTATTTAGACCTTCCCTTTTTCTTTAATTGCTTTTGTGTATTTTCTCAGCATATAAATCCTGCACATATTTTGTTAGATTTAAAACCAAAAGCAAATCTGTTGTCGTCTAGTCGATTCTGACTTATGGTAACCTGTGTGTCAGAGTAGAACTGTACTCCATAGGGTTTTCAATGGCTGTAATCTTACAGAAGTAGATTACCAGGCCTTCCTTGTGTGGTGCTGCTGGGTGGATTCAAACCACCAACCTTTCAGTTAGTAGCTTAGTGCAAGTTGTTTGTGCCACCCAAAGACCTATACTTAAGTATTTTATACTTTATACTTAAGTATTTCATGCTTTTTGGAGTTCCTGGAATTAGTACTGTTTTCAAAATTTCTATTTTCAGGTTTTCATTTCTAGTGTATAGAAATACAGTTGATTTTTATATGTTGACCTTGTATCCTGCTACCTTACTGAATTTGTTTATTAATTCTAGGAGGTTTTGTGTGTGTGTGTGTGTTTGTAGATTCCTTTGGATTTTCTACATAAAAAATTATGTCACCTATGAATAGAGACAGTTTTATTTCTTCCTTTCCACTCTGTATGCCTTTCATTTCTTTTTTATTGTTCCGTTGCACTAGCAAGGACCTTCATTACGACGTTGAATAGGAGTGGTGATAGCAGAAAGCTTGTCTCATTCCAGTTTTAGGGCAAAAACATTCAGTCTTTTCACCATTAATTATGATGTAATCTTTAAACTTTTGTGTAGATGCTCTTTATTAGGTTAAGGAATATCCATCCCTTTTCTTCCTCCTTCGTCTTTTCTTTTATCATGAATGGATATTGAATTTTGTCAAATGCTTTTCCTGCATCTGTTGAGAACGTAAGGTTTTTCTTTTTTCAGGCTTCTGATAGAGTGAATTTCATTGATGGATTTTTTTTTTTTTAAGGTGAACCAGCCTTGTATTCCTGGAATAAACCATAGTTAGTAGTGACATACTGTCTTTTTATATATATTGCTGAATTTGTAGCATATATTTTAAAAATTGTAATTGAGATAGATGTTGTTAATACTTATAACTACTTAAACCCAGGAACACCTTTGAAAATCATGATCCACTGATTTTTTTGTTCATTAATTCTGTCAACAAATACATAAGAATAATTGTGTGCCAGGCATTGTTCTGAATGCTGGGAATTAAAGCATTGAACAAAATAGAGTTCCTGCCCTTAAACTATATTCCTCCCTAGAATGTAATATAATATCAGGTAGTGATTAGTGCTGTGAAGAACAATAAAGCAATGTAAGTGAATAGAGAGTCATGAATTGAGGGACTGAGGTTTGTTAAATATGTTTGTCAGGGAACGACTCTGATTGGGTGACCTTAGAGCAGAAACATGAGTGAAGTGAGGCAGCAATGTTATTTGTGGGAAATTGCTCCAGGCTAAGAGAATAGCAAGCACAAAGTCCCTGAGCCAGAAACTTAACTTGGTGTGTTTTAAGAATAGCGTGGAGGCCAGAGTTTTCTGGAATGCAGTGAGCCATGGAGAGAGTTGTAGAAGGTGAGGTAGTCAGGGTCCTGATAAGGTAAAACTTTGTAAGCCATGGTAAGGACAACTTTGGATTTTATTCTAAGTATAATGGAAGCACTCATTCACTCGCCCAGTATTTACTGAGCACCTGCTATCTGTCAGACACTTTTTCATGTTGTGCATACAGTAGTTAAAATAGTCAAGAAATCCAAGCCTTTATAGAGCTTTCAAGTGCTAATGATTAAGTGCAGTTTATGCAATATGGAGATGGTAAGAAGTGGTAGAGTTTAGAATATTCAGTTTGGAAACATATGCAGTGATTACATATTTAAATAGTTGAAATCATTGGAATAAATGCACTTATGTTTTACCTTTTTTACCTACATAAGACATATCTGTTGAGTTTCTTTTGGTTGCAAAGTATAGATACTTGTTCAGGCTTGGATTTTTATAAGGATACACTTGGGAATAGAGTACAGAGAGACTTCCTGGAAATCCTAGAATAGGAACTATGATACGGCTGGGCCTTCTACAGATTAGAAGCCAAAAGTATTTATATCCAAGTATATTAGTTATCTACTGCTGTATAACAAATTACCCCAAAATTTAGTGGCTTAAAATACCATTTATTATCTCACAGTTTCTGTGGATCAGGAATCTAGGCATGGCTTAGCTGGGCGCCTCTTGCTTAAGGTCTGTTGTAAGGCTGCATTAAAGGTATTGACTCATGGCTTGGCTGGGGAAAGATCTGCTTCTCAGATCACTTGCTTGACTGTTGGCATGACTTTGCTGTCTGTATGCTGGAGATATCAGTTCTTTGCCCTCTTGGGTCTCTCTAGCTCATAACATGGCAGCTAGCTTCCCTGAGTGAGAAAGGGTGACAAGATGGAAGTCATAGTCCTTTTGTAACCTAATCTCAGAAGTGACATTCCAGCACCTCTGTTGCATTCTCTTCACTAGAATTGAGTCACTAAATCCTTACTACCTTAAAGGAGAGGATTACACAAGGGCATGAATACCAGGAGGTGGAGATTATTAGGGTCATTTTAGAAGTTATCTACCACTTGCAGTAAGCTGTAGAGATCTCACCAGAAATGATTTGTGTGTTGTTTTATTGTAGTTCTCTACCGTAAGAGTGCCTTAGTCACTCTCCATCTCTGCATTTCTTTTTCTTCTCCTTTTGCTACCAACTATATTTTTAACTACTAATCTTTTCTTTACCTCTTATTTTTGGTTTCCCCTTATCTTCAGTTTATCTATGGCACAAGATGAACTCTCTTGCCTCATGATATTTTACCTTCTGCCCAGCTACTGACCATTTTGATTGTATCCATTAGCACCCTGTTTAGAATTTTCAAACATAGAATGGGGTGAGAGAGAGTAAAGGGTGGAGTACATAGAGATTGAATGGGGTGATGGAGAGTAGAGGATGGAGTGCATAGAGTTAGAATTGAGTGAGGGAGAGGAGGAGGTAGAGTACCTTATCTTTTGAATATGACTACATCAGCAGTGAGAACTATGGTTAAGACAGTTTTCCTTAGAGAGTTATGTAGTTATCTAAATACTGTTGGAGATGTTTATAGATTAGAAGGTATAGATCGTTGAATTGATCAAATGACTTAACTTGAAACTTGCAAAAAAATTTCCCAATGTTAGCTCATTTTATAATTTTTCTATTTCTCATAAAAATAGGCTATAAAATGTAAAAAAGGTTATTTTTGTCCTGTTTTCTGGATTTAGGATAAATGGGAATTATGTGTAGAATTTAATACTTTTTTTGAGATATTATATAAAAATGTGTAAGTTTTAAGACATACAGAATTGGGATTTTACAGAAGTACATACAATTATACAGTAAAGTATATATATATAAAAGGCAAACATTTAGTTTTATCACCCCAGAAATAACAATAAACATTGGTTCATTTTTACATTTAATCTTTTCTTTCAAGTAATAAAATTTTGTAGTTAAAGCTCAAATCTCCTTGAACTACATCTCCTAGTTCTATTCCATGAAACTTAGATATCTAATGCAATTACTGTTAAAAGTTTCATGGATTTTTTTTTTTTCACGTGTACAATTTAGTGACATTGTGTTTATCACGTTGTGCAACCATCAGCATTATCCATTTCCAGATTTTTCCATCATCCTTAATAGAAGCTTAGTGTCTCCTAAGCAATGAGTCCTCCTTTTCTCTTCCCTCCCACCTGCCCTTGGTAACCACAAATAATCTTAAGTCTATATACATTTGCCTGTTGTAGATATTTCATATAAGTGGAATCATACGTAAGTTGTCTTTTCGTGACTGACTTATTTCACTTAACATGATGTTTTCAAGGTTCATTCACATTGTAGTATGTGTCAGGACTTCATTTCTCTCTATGGCTAATATTCCATTGTATGTATGCACCACGTTTTGTGGACATTTAGGTTGTTTCCACCTTTTAGCTTTTGTGGATAGTGCTGCAGTGAACATCGGTGTACATATATGTGTGTGGTACTACTTTCAGATCTCTTGGGTATATATCTAGGAGTGGAATTGCTGGTCGTATGGTAGTTCTGGGAGCCCTGTTGGTACAATGGTTAAACGCTCAGCTGCTAGCCGAAAGGTCAGAGGTTAGAACCCACCAGCTGCTCTGCGGGGGAAAGATGTGACTGTCTGCTTCCACAAAGATTATAGCCTAGGAAGCCCTTTGGGGCAGTTCTCCTCTGTCCTATAGGGTTGCTGTGAGTTGGAATCGACTCAGTGGCACACATCAATCACATGGTAGTTCTATGTTTAAATTTTTGAGGAACCGCCATACTGTTTTCCTCAGCAGCTGTACTGTTTTACAGTCTCACCAGCAGTGAATGAGGGTTCCTATTTCTCCACTTCCTCGCCAACACCTGTTGTTTTCAGTTTTTTTAATCATGGCCATCTTAGTGGGGACAAAGTAGTAATCTCACTGTGGTTTTAATTTGCACTTCCCTAATGATTAGTTAGGGGGAATTGGTGGGTCAGTGGTAGAATGCTCATCTTCCATGCAACAGACAAGGATTTGATTCCTGGCCAGTGCACTTCAAGTGCAGCCACCACTTATCTGTCAGTGGAGGCTAGTGTGTTGCGATGATGCTGAACAGGTTTTAGCGAAGCTTCCATACTAAGACATTAGGAAGAAAGGCCTGGTGATCTACTTCCAAAAAATCAGCCAGTGAAAGCCATATGGATCACAATGATCTGATCCTATTGTTGGGGGCTAACTTGATGACAGCTAACAACAACAATGACTAATGATGTTGAGCGTCTTTTCATGTGCTTATTGGCTATTTGTATTTCTTCTCTGGTGAAGTATCTATTCAAGTCCTTCGTCCATTTTTTGATTGAGTTGTTTGTTTTTTTTGTTATTAAGTTATAGGAGTTCTTTATATATTCTGGAAATTAAAGCTTTGTCAGATATATGGTTCCGCAAAATTTTCTCCCAATTTGTAGGTTGTCTCTTTGTTGATAAAGTCCTTTAATGATGAACAGAAGTTTTTCAGTGTCGTATCTAAAATTCATCGTTGAAAATTAGACCCCAAAGCATTATCCTGTGTTTTCTTCCAAGAGTTTCATGATTTTAGATCTTACATTTAGGTCTTTGATTATTTTGAGTTAGTTTTTTATATGGTTTGAGATATTGATTCAGCCAGGCTCATTCTTTTGTTTATGGAAATCCAGTTGTCCCAGAACCATTTATTAAAGAGACTATTCTTTCCTCACTGGATGGATTTAGCAAGTTCGGTGGGTATTTTTCTGATCCATTCTTATTAATTCTATACACACACACGCTCACGTGTATAAAAACAAAAAAACAAAACAAAAAACAGACCCGTTGCTGTTGAGTCGAATCCGACTCATGGCAACCCTATAGAACAGAGTAAAACTGCCCCACAGGGTTTCTAAGCAGCGGCTGGTGAATTTGAACGGCTGACCTTGTGGTTAGTGGCCAAGCTCTTAACCACTATGCCACCAGGGCTCCCACACACATTTACATACATGTATATGGTATGGTTTTCTGTTTGTTTGTATTACATTTAATGGTACCGTACAATATATGTTCTGCATTTTTTTTTTTAACTTATTGTTTTTGAGGCATGGAAGAAAGACCTGGAGATCTGCTTCCATGAGATTACATCCAAGAAAACCTTGTGAAGTGCAGTTCTACTGTGATGCACATGGGGTCACCACGAGTCAGAATTAACTTGTCAGCAGTGGGTTTGGTTTTGGGGTTTGGTCGATATTTGTACATATTGATCTACTGCATTCTTCTTTAACTGGTAGACAGTATTCCATCATGTTTTTTTTTATCCATTCTCTAATTGTTAGACGTCTAGGTTGTTTTGAAAGAATGTTTTGCTTTTAAAAGCATTGCACCCTTGTGCACCTGTGACAAACATTATTGTCAAATCACTGAATGAATTTATAGTCCCAATAGATGTTAGAAATCTTATTTACCCATATCCTCATCATAAGTGATATTTTCTTACTGAACACACTTTTGTCAATTTGATGGTTGGAAAACTGGTTTCTTGTGCTATGTTAATCTACATTTCCCTTATTATAGTGAGACGAAGCATATGCCTAATGACCATTTGGATTTCATTATCTGCGACGTACCTGACTATATCCTTAGCCTATTTGTAGGAGTTCTTTATATATTCTGGACAGATGCGAATCCTTAGTCTTTTATACATGTTGCATATTCTGTCTCCGAGTCTATCAGTAGCTTTTAACCCTGTTTATGGTATTTTTTATTACATACACATTTTTGTGCCTTTTTTTTCGTCCACGATCTTTCTTGGTAATCTTTGCGAAGAATCAACTTTTGGTTTTTTGTTTTTAAGTAGGAATGAAGAGAGTAGAGTTACAGCTAGCACCAGAGGACATACAATATGGGAGTGTGGTCATTTAAATGACTATCACCCATCATGTGTATTGAAACAAAAATTATGGAGTATCACAGTTTCAAAGTATTAGGTATCTTCAAAAACTTACAATCATTAATGATACAAAAGTTTTTCATTAACTATTCAGGCATGATCATTTTTAATGGTGCTGGATTAATTTTTTTGTGAAGGAAAATACGTTTTTATAGTTTTTTAAAAATACAATGAAATTTGTCTAGTTACAGGATTAATCCTTAGTGATGATGTGGCACAGTCTTCACTGTTTTCCAGGCAGGAGTGACATCTTCTATAAATATAACTGATGACTATTTGTTTGTGAAAAGGGAAAAAAAATACTGCAAATGCTATTTCAGGAAAAATTTACGCACATTGCAGATTGGGCAAGTTTTCATTATTATTTTTAAGAACTGTGAAATTATGTAAATACATTCTTGTTTGTTCAGTTCATGTAGGTCTTTTTACAAATACTATTTAAACCCATTGCTGTTGAGTCGATTATGACTCATAGTGACCCTATAGGACAGAGTAATACTGCCCCATAGGGTTTCCAAGGAGTGGCTGGTAGATTCGAACTGCTGACCTTTTGGTTAGCAGCCATAGCTCTTAACCACTTCGCCACCAGGGCGAATACTATTTAGCATATTTTAATTATTATTAATAGTGTTCAGTTTGTGAAAATTAGCTTGAGAAACACAGGTTTAGAGCAATTTATTTTATTTCATAAAGACAAGTATTTTAATTTTCAGCTGAAAGTATGGGATTGAGTCACATTTTGAAGTATGGTTTCTAGATTTCAGGTCGGTAATTTTTTTTTTTTGACTCTTACTAAACATTGTCAACAAGTGGAATCCTGAGATTTAATTACATCCACAAATATTTGTTGAACTATTTATTTTGTTAGGTAATGTGTAACTTTGATTGGAATTTTGAATATTTGGCCCCCAGGCAGAGTGAGGAATACTTTGTTTAGTCCTGGTCGAATCCCTTGTGAGCAAGAGTGGAGATAGTGTTGGGAATGGGGAGATAAAGGAGGAGTTTCGTTCCATTCACATTTTAATGAGAAACATCAAAATTGTTGCCCTTGGAACAAGTGTAAGCATAAACATTTTTCTAGATATTTGATAATTTATTTTTACCTTATTTTAGGTTTCCAGTAATTATCTGCAGGAATCGCCATGACCCCAGCTCTGAGGGAGGCAGCAACAAAGGGTATCTGCTTTTCATCTTTGCCAAGTACCATGGAGTCTGACAAGATGTTATGCATGGAAAGTCCAAGAACTGTAGATGAAAAGCTAAAGGGAGACACTTTCTCTCAGATGCTGGGATTTCCAACTCCTGAACCTACTCTTAACACTAATTTTGTGAATTTAAAACACTTTGGCTCCCCTCAGTCTTCAAAACATTATGAGACGGTTCTTTTAATGAGTTCTAATTCTACATTAAATAAATACAGTGAGAATTATAAACAAAAGAAATTAGGGGAACCCAACTGCAATAAGCTGAAAAAAATACTGTGTAATGGCAGCAACATTCAGCTCAGTAAAATCTGTCAGTCTCATTCTGAAGAGTTCATCAAAAAGCAACCTCTGTCAGATACCACAAGCCAGTGCATGACAGATGTACAAATTATTTTGGATTCAAATATAACCAAAGACACTAATGTAGATAAAGTACAATTGCAAAACTGTAAATGGTACCAAAAGAGAGCACTTTTGGATAAAGTCACTGATGCTGAGATTAAGAAGGGTTTATTGCACTGTGCTCAAAGGAAAATTGGGCCTGGCCACTCAGATGTGCCTATTACTTCCTCAGCTGCTGAAAAAGAGGAGGAAGTGAATGCTCGTTTACTTCATTGTGTAAGCAAACAGAAAATTTTACTCAGCCAGGCTAGAAGAACTCAGAAACATTTGCAGATGCTCCTGGCAAAGCATGTTGTTAAGCACTATGGTCAGCAAATGAAATTTTCTGTGAAGCATCAGCTCCCCAAAATGAAGATCTTTCATGAACCTACCACAGTTTTGGATAACAGTTTACCTAAATGCACTGAAATTAAGCCAGAAGTCAACGTATTGACTGCAGAGAATAAATTGTGGGATGATACAAAAAATGGCTTTGCACGGTGTTCAGCTGCAGAAATCCAAAGATTTGCACTGTCTGCTACAGGGCTGTTGTCTCATGTTGAAGAGGGTCTGGATTCTGATGCAACTGATAGCAGCTCTGATGACGATTTGGATGAATGTACCATTAGAAAAAATGTGGCAGTGTAAGTGCAAAATTATTATTAGATCTTTTACTGTTTGATATATATAGCAGCAATTTTGTCTTGGTTTCAATACATGTTAAAAGGAAATAGATTTTCTGAAATCTTAATGGTATAATCTTTTAAGTTGTAAAACTGATGAATTTAAAATGTTTCATTGGTTAAACTATTGTGTGTGAGTATATACAGACTATTCACAGATAAGTTACTCAACTGCTTTCTTTACCTAGGAAAAACCCATGTAGGAATAATAAAAAGTAATTAAGCTATGAGTAGGCATATTTTTCTGTTCTTGAATTAGAAGAGACTGTGGACAAGACCCAAATCTTTGCTGATGTGATCTAGTCAATATGAATAGCTAAAACTAGAAAAATTTAAAGTCTGCACATAAAGCTCCCTCACTGGCTTGAAGAATTTATCAGTTGTAAGGTACATCTAAGTTGACCTGCTGTTTTTTTTAAAAACTATTTATATACTCATATTCACAGCTTTCAGCTCTGGCCTTTACCAACTTAGTGAATTTTCGCTGGAGTAATTACAAATCTATAGTGTCAGCTATGAGGTATTTGTTGAATTCTTTATTATATGCTAGATACTAGAGATTCAGTTGTAGGCAAAATATTCAGTCTCTGCACTTTTGAGAATTTACTTGAGAGGGAAGTACTTAGATATTTAAAAAAGAGAGAGAAATGTTTTCAATTATCACAGCATGTTAACACTCCAGAACAGCGCTGTCCAAGAGAAGTTTCTGAGATGATGGAAATGTATATCTGTGCTATTCAGTAGGCACTAGCTTCGTGTGGCTATTCAGCACTTGAAATGTGGTTAGTGTAACTGAGGAATTAAATTTTTAATTTTAATTTTAATTTAACTAGCCAGACAGAACATAATTTTTTTTAAATTGTGCTTTTAGTGAAAGTTTACAATTCAAGGTAGTTTCTCATACAAAATTTATACACGTATTGTTATGTGACCCTAGTTGCTGTCCCTATACTGTGACAGCACACTCTTCCTTTCCACCCCAGATTTCCCGTGTCCATTCAACCAGCTCCTGACCCTCTCTGCCTTCTCATCTCGCTTCCGGACGAGAGCTGCTCATTTAATCTCATGTATCTACTTGAGCTAAGAAGCACACTCTTCACGAGTATCATTTTATGTCCCATAGTCCAGTCTAAT